ATTTTTTGGAGCAAGTAAAAATATCACTGGTTTCAGTTTCCTCTTCGAAATCACAACATTTTTATAATGATGGAATAAATAAGCCTATTCAAAGATGAGAGATGATAATAGCAACCAATGGAAATTATATAATAGATTAAGTCAATAAGAATATTTGAAAAGCCCTTCTTTAAATTTCTTATAAAAAAAACAACAAAACTTTTATATCAACCCAATATATACGCATTAACATCCGCAGTCCAGCGATTAAGTGTTCTTCCACTTAGCGCCTTAAGAATCAGACGTGGAATTCGTATCTTCGCTGAGCCATCGTTTGCAGATTGGGGACACAGATTTGTGTTTAGACGCGATATCCTATATGTATTTACAGTCTCTCCAATCAAAGCGTGTTCAGCTTTACTAATGAAAAAGTTTTGTACTTTAGTTTTACAAGTTATATATATAATTAAATAATAAACAAAAATAAAATGCAATTAGGTTAATAGTTTTGTCACCTGTAGCATTGATGAAGGATAAAACGAAAGGCTGGACGTTACAAGCGATTAATGATCCAAAAAAATGCAGCAAGATCAGCATTGATCAGTCATCTGAAATCAATTTTATTGAGAACGAGTGGGCTTATATGAAGCAGAAACTTCAAGAAAGTAAATATTAAATCTTAAACAATTAATACAAAGGAATTCGTCGCATTTGAAGATCCTTACCGTAAGAATATGCGGTTAAATTAGTCCGCAGCTATTTTAAAGCTGCCAGGCGATTGGATTGACCATTAACCTAATTACATTTTAGTTGTAAATATTTAAAAAAATGTATATATGAGTTATAAAACTAGAATCCAAATTTTGCTATCAGTAAAGTTGAATTCGCTTTAATTGGATAGACTGTAGATAAGATACACAGGGATAGACACAAAAAAATGTATAGTGACTTTGAATGATTACAAATACAATATTTATTAAGATACATCCAAGTTTTATGATCCAAGGCAAAGAAGACAAGTGTAGAATTTTTGGAGTTGTCAGAGATTTTTAACATCTTGATACGACTGATAACGCAAGAACTTTTAATTGTTGTTCTCAACTGCAGCTTTTATTTTGATTTGATTAGCAATAAAAAGTATCATACAATTCTCCTCGCGTACACCAGATTTCATACTATTGGACGTTTTCATGAGAACATGTCAAAGATAAGATTTATAATATAATGTCATAATCAAAGAGTTAAAAGCAACAATTAAAGAAAAATATATTTAAATATTAATAGATATGATTGATTATGCTTGTAATTTCGTCTGTTTGTGTTATCAATAGTGCCTAGACCAGAATAAAGAATATTTCGAAAAGGTATCTAGAATAATAAAAAAATATTCTATACTTGTATTCTTTAGCTTATATTACAAAATTTGAATACGTATATCTTAATAAATGACTTATTGTTATGTAAAATGTGTTTTTTTTTGGGGACACCTTGTATAATGTTTAAAATTATCTTGGATCAACTTATGCAACAGAGTACGTTCAGAGTAATGTTAAGTTCTGCGCGAATAGCACCGATTCTAAAGGTGTTAATAGTCACTGTTAACAGCATAAGCGTTCACTTATTCTAATAACAAAACCAAATCAGTTCTTGTCTGCGTTTGCGATTGTTGGGAAGCTGTTTTTAAACATTTTAGCACATCTGTGCTTTTTCATTATTATTTTCATTATTTCTATCATTTTTATTATTTCCATGATTTTTATTATTTTTTATTATTTTGTATTACTTTTTTATTATTTTCACTATTCTGATTACTCTTATTATTCTTATATGTATTATACATCTTTTCTATATTGAACAAATGTAGAAAAAGTGTAAGGTATAAGCCACCGTTAAAGTTTCATTGGTACGATTTATGGAACGGAGCTTCAGAAATTCCACGAGTATTCTTCATTAATTGATAATATTATGATATTTGTTACAAATAAAATTTAAGTTGTACTATTTATTTCGTTGTACACGTACAAAACTGAATTGAATACTTTGTTCCGAAAAAAAGTGTAAAAAATGTATTATTTTCGGTGTACACAAATGTAATATATTTAAATTATTGTTTTCCTAAGCATATTTGGATACAAGAATTATACAAATTATACATAAATAACAGATGAAAATAAAATAAATTTTAAAAGTAGATTGATAATATAATAGTTACACCATGTATAATTATAAACATTTTAATAAAGTAACGGAAAACCATACCTATAGAAGCGTGAGTTAAATTAAAATGAAATAGTATTAATAAATAATATATTGTACTTGAACGCATCTCACAATATAATTCCGTTGAAAAAGAGAACTTCTATTTTCCTTGTTAAACGTCAGTAAATTAATTTTCCATTATTTACGCAAAAAAATAATCCTTTGTTTGTCATCCTTGTATTTCATGTAGGTATTGCATTTCGTAATAGAACACTTCCAAATGTGTGCAATGAATTGCTTTATTCAAAAAAGTTCCATTATTGTACAATTGTATTGTACTAAAAAGATATTAGATAAATAATGATGTACCTGCATTGAATTTCAGCAATATAAGTAAATAAATATTTTTGATATCAATGTTATGTTTTCCAGATCATCTTGTAACGAGTCTTCGTTTTCTAAATTATTTAATAATCCACGCATATCGAGGAAACAGATATTGATCTTCCACCGTATATCTAAATATTATCGAAGGTAATTGAGGAATTTCCTCAGCAAAGATACTGTTAACGAGAGCAACCGTATCATACGGCTAATCACCGATACGAAAAAACCCGGGCAAACAAGTATTCACTAACAATAATACGTGATTTGGACACAAGACGCTGATTACGGCTTTTAATCAGGGTTTGAAAACAGTCACGACATCGATTTCGGCCCTCAAAACAGTTATGAGGGACCGATATTTCTAAAAACTTATATATATTGATTTCGGTTACGGTTTTCTATATATAGATAACGTATTGTCATATCCTTATTTTTTCAGTCCTTTTATCTATTCTATAACTGTTATCTTTTCCATCCTCACATCTACTCTAGAACCGATATAGCACCGATACGAGGATCGATATCCTATAAAATATAAAATAAGGAAAAAAATATAGGATATAAAATACCATAACCGAAATCCATATAGACCGCAAATGTCGGCACTTCATAACAGTTGTTCGAAATATTGGTCCTCCATAACTGTTTTATTTAGACCCTTTACATAAGAGGCCTTCATACACGTTGAAACACAAGGCGATGCAGGCATCGCTAAAGTGATGTATTTGAGTGTTCTGAGGTTTCACAACATGTTGTATTAAATCAAAAAGGGAAAATTCCTCTAACCCTTCGCTTGTAACATATGCATCGTCGTATATTTCAACAGGTAAGGGCCTTAACATTTTATTTACCGGACGATTATTAATAAGCTATTTAATAACTGTCTTATATCAAAAAGCAGGTTAATAATTTTCTTTAAATAATAGTCCTAAAGAAAAGTGATTATATTTTGTAGTAAATCTTTGCATATTTATAAACTTTATAAGTTTTATTGTCCGTATATCTTTTTCAAATGTAGTTCAAAGTATAAAAAGATGTAGAAGAAATGTCAGACCGTTCAAAACATATATAAATATATTTTGCGTGAATACAAATCAGTTCATTACCACTTTGCAAATGAAATGGAATTGAAGCTTGATCTTACGTGCAACTTACGTTAACAGGTATTATTTACTTACGTGTATTTATATAAGTGTTCAATGAAACATTTTTTAATTAATCCCTTCACATACAATATTGTGTCAGGCCCCTGATCATAATTTTAAACTTAATTTGAGGATTCTAAGAATTGTTTATTTTTTTTAAATATAAATTAAATATTACTTTTTCTATTATCACTCGTTAACTTTTAGAGTAAACGTAGACATAGAATAAGCATACAAATTTTGTTCTTTTCCTAATAAATTATTAACGACAAAGTAGTTGCACTGATCATAGTTAAGAAATAATTGAAACTAAAATTAGAATTAAAATATTGGAACACTCGTCCCTTCATTCACGCGGAGTGTCCGTTCGAAGTGGATTTGTTTTACGCGAATGAAAATCGCATAAATAGACTGACAGTACCAAAGAAAACAAAATACTGGAAAGAAAAGCTGGCATAAGTTTAGAAATACATATTTATTTTATACAGCATAACACGTCAACTGTCACAAAAAGCTGTGGCGTTTTATGTATCATTTATTCGTCCGTAGCAAAGATAAAGAGGAACAATTATCAATTATTTGGTACCACAATTCTTACATTACATTATTATCTACTTATTCAAGCTATTAAATATTTTTATTCCACATCGGTTACAATTGTTTTTAAATAATATGGAAGCTCCGGTCACATCGGTGGCCACCGTGACAGTCAATGTATTAACAAAAAAATAAAAGTAACATTTAAGAAACAAAAGTAACTTTTATTCAGTGTCACTAAATTCAGATCGCGTAAATTGATGTCACGTATATACAATATTAGGGTATAAAATAATTTGGGAGACAAAACAGAAAGAATACACTATATAGTTGAACTGATATAGCAATAAAATACCTAACCATCTTTATTCTTGTACAAAAAGTAATTTGAAAATGCGTCCGTCGAATACTACCGGGTTGTGTCCTCTTCGGTGCACAGAACAGTCCCAGGACGACACAGGGGCAAAATAAGTCTCTCGTTATGTGTTTTGTTTATAGTTTCGATTGGTTACATATAACTGTATTGACTATTGACAAATAGAAATTTAGCATTGAAAATGAGATATGAAGAGAGGAAAGCTGACCGATTAGATCTGCATTTCTTCCAGGGCACTTCTCCCGTGCAAGGAAAAGTAGGGTTAAACCGACAACGCGGTGAAAGCGATCTTGTTACTGTTGCAGCGTTGCGTATTTAGTTCACTGTCCATCCGTAGCAGAGTGCGCTCGAGTATTAGGACATTTTCATTGGCATCGGTAATACAGAGTGTTGGTCAGAAAGTCTCGATAGAACGAGAAGCCGCGGCTAGCCAGTGCGGGAGCTAAGCACCGCGACAAGCATGTCGACATTTCCCACCACTCGATCGGTAGACGCGAACCAGTTGATCGTGGTCTCGCCGCCGAGCTCGAATACGCGCAGTACTGCTCCGTCTTCCTTGACACCGAACACTGATAGTCCGGTAGGTTCGTAACTTTGCGAGGGAGCCGGCACTTCGCCTGACATCCGCGAGTCTCTGAATCCATCTGACGCAAACTTTAAAGATCAGTGTGGTCGAGTGAACCAAGCCACAGGAAAAATCGGCAGAATCGTTCAGAATAAGTATGCCCGCAAAAAAGGAACTGCAACAGGAAACCTATGAGTTCGATTACAATAGGGTGCCTGAGCTGAAATCTAACTGGGAAGCATTCTGGACTTACATTCACAACCCCGCCGAGGGCACTTACTGCAACCACACCGGGAAGAAATGGGGTAATTATTTTCTGTTCGAATCGTTGTCTTTCTAATATGAGAATCGATTAAATAGCTCGGTTCAAATGAAGGATTGTATCTTAATTCGTCGTAATTAAGATAATCTCTGGATGTGAATGAAGGTACTCTTAACACGTTGTTGACCGGTCACGAGTATGCTCTTGTCATCGTCAGTATCAGCTTGAGCGATTATTGAAACACAAAATTGTGTAAGTTGTAATTACAATACAGTCTGTTATGTTGTATAATATTCATTTCGTTTGTTTCTGGATTAGTAGAAGTTTATCTATGATCTAGTGATTTAAGATTAGAATTATCGGACGGGTCAAAATGATCCCTTTCTTTCATTCTTTTGTAATTTCTGAAACGATATAAAAACTTCTCTGAAACATTTGTAAATCAATTGATCCACTAAGATACATTCTTAGGTATAAATCAATCGAAATCTTAATAAATGCACTTTTATATTTCTATAAGAAGATATATATTAAGCAATTTGACTGCTCGGTATATAATGCTAACGTTAAATATTAACATTTGATAATTGAATTACGAAAACAACGGGTGACACAAGAAGCCAGTCACTAATGCGTTCAGCACGAGATAAAAGATCATTTATCATGAAGAATTGAGCGACTAGTTTTGATAGCAATTTAAATTTGAACATTTGATACTGAATATGAAAATAACAAGAGACACGTGTTATTTAACCGAGTAGTGTAGCGTTAAAGTAATTGCACCAATAACTTACCAGTTAAGAATAATGTCTAGTATGACATCATATTCATATTATAAATATAAATATAAATATAAATACAAACATACAATATAAATATAAATGTAAATATAAATATAAATATAAATATAAATACAAACATACAATATAAATATAAATGTAAATACTTATACGAAATATGAAATATCCATATTTATATAACGTTAACCGGTCAGTTATTAGTAATTACATACACCTGAAGTATCGAATAAAAGCTTATACATCGAAAAATTAAGCGATCAGCTTCGCGTGAAACTGTTCGAAAAGAATTTTCAAAAGATAATCTTCGAAACGGTTGCCCTCCGTGTCGGCGAGGTAGGCGTGAGCCGGAGTTTAACGCCTAAATCAAGTACCGAGAATTAGGTCTTCCTTGACTTTGCTACATACCAACGGGATGAGCTTGCGGGTCTCTTCCCCTGCGTCCGCGATCGGGCCTTCTTTCGTACGGAGCAACAGGCCGGCCGCGGAGATTTAATACGTCGCGTCGATTGGAGCACGGGTAAACACGTGTACTTATAATTGTGTTGTCTCGTCGGGGCGACATCGTAAGACGACGTCCGTGAGGCCAGCCGTGTTTTGGCAACGACAGAATGAAAGGGCACCGGAAATAAATATCGAGCACGTTAAATAGCGCTGAACAGAGGCAATAGAATCTCGGCGCGGGGGATTGCGGTTTGTGCATGATTCAAAGACGACCTAGAGACGGTTCAGTCCTGTCAGATTAATTGTTATCAATGACATTAAAACTGCCTAGCGCTCTTCATTCGAACGCGATAAGAAACTGGGAAGTCGAATTCCATTATCTTATTAGTTTGCGTTTTATTAACACTGGAACAACCGCACCCGTTAAAGTGATGGATTTTGGTTTTCTTATTTCGCAATTATTGATATGTTAAAAGCGTTAAGTATCTGAAATAATTTGAGAAATAATTTCACTTCTAGATAACACTAGTGTTATCGCGTCGAGTGCCGGCTGATTTTCTTGTTTTCACGATAAGAAAGCTATAACCATAGTCTTCGCTGTACAGTCTCTGGCTAAAAAGTTATAACTATTCACAATTATCAACGTTTTTTGTGTTTTAGTTGAATATAGAGGATTAAATAGAATTTAACGGCAAATGTATTTTACATACGGGTATTGATAATTTATACAGGACAAAATATTATTGAATGCAAAATATATCGAAGAGTTACTGTTGTTAAGGAAAATTCTCGATATGAATCTAATTGAGAATTAGGAGTTTATGTAAAATAAAAGGTTCTAAATATCTGGCAAATTTGTCCAACAATTAAGGACGAAATAAAATAATGCACATAGAGTACGTCAGAGAAAATACACTGGGAAAGAACAAAGAATTAATATGCACGTATGTAATGTGTAAATATATACTTCGTTATTGGTAAAAATTATTATTAAATTACGCCCAGTCTTCTAAATTTGTTTATAAATACAAAAGCTGTTGAAAATTATCAGCGATCATAATTTTTGTACTGGGACTGGAGATATATAACGGTGGAATATTATATGAAATTATTTAATTGAGTTGTATTGTTGTAATATATGGTTTTGTCTTGCAAAATGGCATTATGTTATATTACGTCGTTAGTTGTATAGAAGGGTTTACGGACATTGTTGTTTAATTAAATCAATTGTTATATCTGATTTTATTGTTGCCGGTCACCGGTAATCCCTGTGGTACCATTATAAAGTTATTTGTTAATAATTGAACATCTAGTAAATTATGTTTGTTTTTTTTTATTTGTGAGCAACTAATCGTTGTTTTATACATATATTTTGTACACTTTTGTACACACTTGTACATATTGATAACACTGTGGAACAAATTTTAATCTATTTTGCTTTTTACAATAACCACTAGGTGATTCTTATAGAGTTCCTTACCCTAAATATGAATCCGAAAAGCAAATTGCTGGATCACGTCCAGTTTTCGAAAAAACTGGGTTTTTGTAAAAACGGTCGAATTTTTCAAAGAACCAAGTGTTACGTGAAAACTAAAAATAGGCAGTTAAAATTTATCGTAGAAAATAGAGGAGACTTGCCCGAATATTGCGCTATAAAAATTTTGAGTTTTGTGTATCATTGAATGTTTGTAAATGATGATCAAAGTTTAAAAAAGGGTAGATACGCGTACTTTATATGCACTTCTATTACATTTCTACGAAAAGTGGGTTGGCTAGCACGAATGTTCTATGCGCCATTGGATTCTGCAGACATTTCTGAAGAGGAACTCCCCGCGGGAAGTGTGAGAACAGTTTTTCTTTGGGACAGGTTAAGAAAATGTCCGTGAAGAGCGCGTGCACGGAACTTTGGCGCCACACAGCCATCGCTCGCCGGCCACAGCTATGCAGGACTAATCTTATTTATATAAATATATATATATACGCGTAGTATATATATAATGTTTAATTGTTTTATAAATTTAAATATGTAAAATATCTTCATTTACTTCAAAACATATTCCCTAAATTGTGATCAACATCCTGTTTATTATTTATTGTAATGCAATATATCTATCGTTAAATTAGATTACACCTAAACAAATTAGCTATTTATCGATTCTACGTACACTCAATTTAATTTCTGATTTATTCGATCAAGTTCCTTGAAATTGGAAGAATGATAACCACTATGTCATAATCAGTTTTCAATTTTCTTTACATAAATATGCGTAAAAATTTATATATATTATCTATCAAATCGACATTTTTATGAAGAGTTGGATTACAGTCAGCCACAATTTGTCTATTAGTTTTCCAGTTAATTTCCATTTGCCATTGACTCCTTTATTACTACCGTTACTTAATTAGTTCAGGTACTTACAACATATTAGACGATGATTCATAAACCCAAACCAAGTTTTCAACGCAGAACAAGTTACTGAATGGATGAAAAGGTGGACAATAATGTAGAATATAAAAGAATTTCAAATAACTGTGAGCGACTGTTTGTTAGCATTGTTCGAACTCCATTAACAAGCTAACTACTAGCATTTGTTTTAATAGCATTCTTCGTACATAGTTAGGATATTTGATTGAATACGTTACATCATCTACAAAAATATAAATAAAAGTTAATAAAAAAATCTTGTTCACGTCGGATGAAGATACACGTGAAACTAATGTTTTATAAATAAAGGATAAATAAAAATTTACTTTTCTTTAAACAAAATGCAAATTGTTGGTCCTTTCAAAAGTGTGACGTTGGTAATGAACATGTTAATAATTCTATCCCTCTCTTTTTTCTTTAATTTAATTAAATTACTTGAAAGACACATTTTAAAGATTCGGCGTATCAACCGCTTGTTCTAGAATTTCTTTCACAACGGCGCTCGTTAGGATAATTTTGTCATTAATAACTGACCAAAAAAACAAAGAAAAATTCCTGATTCATCTATATCCACCTTTATTTCAGAACGTAACAATAAATAACAGAAGAACAGTATTTAATTTGAACTCAAAACAATTCAGTGACATTTAATTTCTGTAATTTCCGTTTAGGAACTTCCTCTCAAGTCTGAGTCGATATTATATGTAACGGGGTTAAGAAAATGCAACAAAAATTTTCGTTTCTTTTTAAACAGTTTCCCTAATTTCAATCTATAAACAATATCGACGTTCGTTATGATCTCAGTCAGTAAACTTTCGATAGACGTTAAAATGTTTGCAACGTGGATGAAAAACAGCGTTGTGTCGATTGCTATAGATTAAATGTAAATTTTGGCACAAGCTTCTCAGTACGTGGAACACGGGCATCTGTTTAATCTTCGATAGTGACGCGTTTCACGGCCTCCGAGAATATTTGGAAAATCGTAAACTAATTTTAAGAAGCTATTAACGGCTCTACAGGATTCTATTTTTGTTCGTTTCTTTCGTCTGGTAGTATGTCTGTTACAATTGATTGGAACATTGCGAAACTTCTGCAAATAAGGTGTACTGTCAACTGTAATCTTGATGCGAAGAACGTCTTGCTTTTAAATTAACTTTACCGCTCGCTTGTCTTCTGTTGAATGTGCAATATACTTTACATTGAATTCTTTCTTATTTAACCTTTGAACATGTTCAATGCCGCACGATTTCATAGAACAAAATACACAAAATGGAAAAAATATAATATTAAATCATATAATTGAATTGTATTATTTTTGCACGTTGATCTAGCTGAATGTCGTCACATTAGATAGCATTATTTATAATGTAGGAATGT